AATAAAAACAAAGAAGGTTATTATCTAATGATAAAGGGACCAATTCAGCAAAAGAATGTAACAATTCTAAATATATATACACCCAACACTGGAGCATCAAGAGTCATAAAACAAATAATACTAGACCTAAAAAGAGAGACAACAAGGCAATAACAGTGGGGGACTTCAGCACCCCACTCACAGCACTGGACGGATTGAGACAGAAAACCAGTAAAGAAACGTTGGACTTAATTGAACTTTAGACCAAATGGACCTACCAGACATTTACAGAACATCTGCCCCACAACTACAAAATATACAGGCAGAGAATTTTCCAAACCTAGAGGAAGATATGAAAATTTAGATACGAGAAGGTAATAGAACACCAAGCAGATTTAACCAACTAAGTCTGCCTCAAAGCATTTTAATAATCGAGCTCCCAAAGGCCACAGATAAAGAAAAGGTCCTAAGGGATGCAAGAGAAAAGAAAAAAATAACATATAAAGGAGCTGAAATACAAACGTATCTCTGAGTATTAGAACAATGATACTTTTCTCTAAAAAGACTATTTCCATGAAGGGAAATACATCAATCAAAATCCATGGCATAAAATCTAAAACTGTTATAAAAAATAGAGTTTATCTAAAAGCAAAACAACGCATGGAATGAATATACACTGTCTGCCCTCCACCAGTCTTTCTAATCCAGACGAACGATGAACTAAGGTGGAGGCCAGTAAGAAGACATAGTCAAGTAGGAAGAATTCATTCACAGGTATAATTGTAGGTGCAATTATTCAGGGATCTTCCTGTAAGGCTTTTTGGAAGAAAGCATAATACACCTCTTCTACTCAGTTATTAGAATTAATATGGTTATAGTAGAAACCTAATTAAATGGATAACAGCTTCCACCAGCCTTCTCTTACTGAACAGTTCTTCCCAACCTCTTTCTCTGATTGGGAAAGCCAAGGAGAATCTGACTAGACTTGAAATAATCCCCAGCAGGGTAAAATGTTCCTTTTTGCATATTCTTCTTTACAAAAGATGGAGGCCAATTGCCCCAGAGAAATTCAAGGCCTAATTAGAACTTTCTGTTTCCCCGGGAACAGGATCACTCTTGCTATTTAACTTGGCCTGAATTTGATTCCTTATAGACTGGTGCAAAGCTAAAATATTCTGGCAAAGTTGCTGTAGGTCAAATATACCACAGAAGACATCACAAACCTAATAACTTAGAATAATATTACATGTAATAAATATGGATAATTTTTCTTTTTCCTACTTCCTGTTTTCTTCCAAA